TATTATTGATTTCCCAAAATAATCCTGAGAATTTGAGTGTTTTTCACAAGTGAAAGAAAAAGTACTGTAAAAATATTTAACACCATCAATTTTGGGTAAAATTAAAAAGGCAGTGAAAAAACTGACACATACGTATATATATTAAGGTATCTATATTTGTATGTTTTATCATTTGTATCTTTTTCATTTGACCTTTTCATTTAGATATTTTATGCAATATTGGTGATGGTTGTACAATTTGAGTAACCAATTTGGTGTTGTGAAATTGGGCAATAAAAATGTCGAATTGTGTAGATAGTTTATAAGAATAAAAGCACTTCATGAGTAAAGCACAAAAATGTAAACTAAATAAGGTCAAGTGTTCAGGGCTGTTTTTTACTATTTCTCATATCCTGTTGCATATTAAACACCAGAACCAAGTTGTTACCAAAAGTCAATTCTTTCCTAGTATACCAGACCACCTTTAGTGCTATTAGAAAATAGGGTGCGTAGAAAGTGTTACAGACTAGAAAGGCCACAGAGTAGAAATGACTGTAATCTTTAAGAGAGCAGGTCAGAGGCAGACTATTTGTGCTACTCACGGATCTATTTACATTTTAGAAACTCAGTACATAAAATAAAGAATATCTTAATGATCAGGACAAATCAATTGTTTATTTCTTTTCTTTTTAAAATATTTTCTTTTTTATCATTTCATTGGGGGCTCTTCTAGCTCTTATGACACTCCATATATCCATTGTGTCAGCACATTTGTACATATGTCGCCATCATCCTTTTCAAAACCTCTTCTTTCTACTTGAGCCCTTGGTATCAGCTCTTCATTTTTCTCCTCCCTCCCCCACCTTCCCTCCCTCATGAACCCTTGATAATTGGTAAATTATTATTATTTTTATATCTTACACTGATTGCTTATTTATTTCTAAATAAACCAATTGTTTATTTCTAAAACACATTAATTAAATTGGTGTATTTGACAGGAAGATGGAGAAATGATATTTCTTCTTACTTTGTAGATACACAAAAATGAAAACAGCAACCAACATTTACATCTTTAACTTGGCTCTGGCAGATGCCTTAGTGATGACAACCATGCCCTTCCAGAGTACGGTCTACCTGATGAACTCTTGGCCATTTGGGGATGTGCTATGCAAGATTGTCATCTCCATTGATTACTACAACATGTTTACCAGCATCTTCACTTTGACCATGATGAGTGTTGACCGCTATATCGCTGTGTGCCACCCTGTCAAGGCATTAGATTTTCGCACACCCCTGAAGGCAAAGGTCATCAACATCTGCATTTGGCTCCTGTCATCATCTGTTGGTATATCTGCAATAGTCCTTGGAGGCACCAAAGTCAGGGAAGGTAAGTAGTGATGTACCATACTGAGTAACACTGTCAGAGGACGCCAAGGTGTGGATGTAGTGGGGA